AGCCATTTGTCTAATACGAAGGAGGCCTGTGCCCTCCACGCCTGGCTTGCTGGGGTTGGGCACAGTCAGTGGAAGCCCCATAGCCCCAGGTTATAGCTGGGACAGGACAGAGAATTCGCTCTTCAGGAAGTTGCTGATGAGGCCGGCCACCTGCTCGGGTTCCTTCATGTGGACATAGTGATTGCCAGGGACCTCAACGAACTGGAACCGCTGGAGGAGGGAAGGGCATGTGCCGAGGTGTGGCCAGAGGGGGTGGCTCTGCCCACCATGGCCAGGTGGCCCTGGGTGTCTGCAGGCCCCCCGGTAAGAGTAGGAATGCCCTGCAGCACGTCATCCCCATGTTCGGCGCCTTGGGCTGATGGAAATCCTGGGGGCTTGGAGGCCAAACTAGGATCCTGAGCCACCTGAATTGTGACCAGGCAGAGCCAGACACAAGAGGGGCCCATGGTCGGGCTGCTGCTGACCCTCACGGCCTAAGGCCGAGGCCTCCTTGGGAAGTTTACAGACTTGCTTCCCCTGTGAGAAGGAACCTCAGGACAGAGGGTCCCACCTGTCTTGGCTCTGACTCCTGTTCTGGCCTGTGATGGGCTTCCCTTTTGTGACCATGCCAGTGTCTGCAGGACTGGGGCAAGCACCTACGAGTGGGTGATCACCCTCAAACACCCGGTGCTCCCCAAACCCAGGACGGAGCCACGGATCAAGCTCCATCCCTGCCTGAATGCTCCCGAAGCAAGGTTGGCCTGGAGGGGGTGGCGGGGTGAAACATGCTCTTGGACTGCCTCTGGCAGCTGGGCCACTGAGCTGTGCCTGGCCTGGTGGGTGTGAGGACAGGAAAGCTGGAGGGTTCTGCCAAAGGTCTCCATTTCCTGAATCTCTGTGTGGTCTCTGGGACTGACCAGAGAGGAGTGAGGCCAGGTAGCTCCCGGGGCCACTTGGACTGGGCCAGACCAGCCTGACCTGGCCCCAGCTGTCCACGCGCCTTACCTCTTTCAGGGTAGACTGCAGAGCGCTGACCATAAAGTACAGCGTGTCCCTGTCCGTGTCGTTCTCTCTCCTCACGTTGTAGTACCCTTGCAGTGCTCTGGGACATGGGCGCGGGGAGGGTGTGGTTAGGATGGCCTCCGGCAGGGCTAGGACACCCCTGCTTTCGCCTTTGAACCCCTCAAGTTCCCTTGAAGCTTAGATTCAGTCACTGAGCGCCAGCTTGTACGGAGCTGGCACAGGCCAGGCACAGTGACATGCTGAAGATGTGTCCTGCCAGGGCGCCAGATCTTGGGGCTCCGGGGCTCACGGGCCTGGCCCTGGATGGCAGAGCCAGGTCTGAACAGGCTCTCAGCCCCCTTTGCCACCTTTTTTGGGAAATGTATAGTTCTGTGGTTTTAGTGTGCAGTTGTCAGCATCACAGTCACTTCTAGAGCACTTCAGAGCCCCAGAGAGCCCTGAGCCCTGAGCCTGAGCTTTCTCATACACGCCCCCATGTCACTTGCTGCCACTAATCGACACTGCCTACTGAGCACCCCGTCTGGATCTGGTGGCCTCGATCCATGGGCTTCTGCAGCTGGCTGCCTTCACGCAGCACGACTCCAAGGTTCATCCTTTTTTCCGCTTCTTTCCACGACCAGAGCACCTCCGCTGTATGGATATGCCCCATCTAGCTTATTTACCCACTGCTGGGCGTTGGGGCAGTCTCTTCCTTTTGGGTTTTACACAGTGGCACATCAAAAAGTTCATGGGAAAATGAAATTGCTTTATTTTGGTGCAAAATAAACCCCCTGAAATTCATGTAGTTTTTCATAATACACATCTCCCATGCACTTTCTGAAGAGCACTGAAGGTGAAAGGGCCAGTGAGGCCTCCCAGCCCTGCTGTCTGAGCCCTCTGCACTCTGCCTTCCTCTCATACCTACCACCAGGGGGTCCCAAGAAAGCACACAGGTGGCTGTGCCATGCCCCCCCACCCTGAGAACAGGAGGCGCACACGGGGCTCCCTCCTGGAGCACACAGGCATCCCAGCCAGGCTTACTTGATAAACAAGATGCGGGCCTGCAGCTTCTTGATGAACTGCATGAACAGCTCCTTGCTGACGAACTCAAAGCTGTTCTCCGGCTGCAGAGACAAGAGCATGGCAAATTCTTACCACCCGGCACCTGTGCGGTGGAGCTTGGTCTGTGGGGGTAGGTGGTCTTGGTGGCATCACCTCAGCCCTCCACCTGGGGCTGGCCTACCCCAGCCCCAAATCTGTTCTCCCCTCCGCTTGGGCTCCTGGCTGCCCAGCCACCCCATTTCCCATACTCCTTTACAGCAGGCATCGTGTGGGAACCTTCCAGTAACTGACGGCATACTTCTGTGCCTGGACTTCAGGACTGAGCCGGGGCCCCCTCCTGGTACCCCCCCTTTCCTGGTTTCATGAGAAGTCATGGGCTTGGACCACAGTGTGGACTGAGGACCCCTGGTGTCCCCCACCCTTAGTACATCTCAAAGGTCTAGGGCTGTGCCGTCCAGCGCGGAGCCCATCCGCAGCACACAGCAGTCCGCGTAGGGGTGTGGAGGTGCAGGGGTGGAATGCAGGCTACATCTGGAAGACTTAGTACGAGCATAATCGAGTTTTGACTGTATCTGAACTAATAACATCTTGGATACAATGAGTTAATATTACAGTTGATTTCACCCTTTTTTTTTTGAAGAGGTTTTTGCTATAGGGCGCATGTGTCCGCCAGACAGACAGAGACAGAGAGATTGAAAGCGAGAAATCACCCCCCAGAGGGGATGGCCATGCCGCAATCCCTCCTCCATTCTCCTCTTGGGATCTTGGGCACGCACGCACACGCGCCTGATGTGAGTTTAAGCCACCGGGTCCGGGACTCAAACCGCTGTCAACTACATGGGAGTCCAGCGATATAGCCATTACACTAACTGCTGGTCCCTCACCCTTTTTTAAAATATACTTTTAAAAAAATGTTGCCAGAGGGTGTGAGCACTTGCCAGAGAGACACACATAGAAGAAGAAAGTGAAAACACTCCCTAGGGGACACAATGACCCCACAACCCCATCTCCCAGAGCCCACCAGTGCTCAGCTCTGATGCCTGCACAGACGCTTAGGAGCCCCGTCCACTGTGCTGACCAGGAGAGGTCAGTCCCAGAAAGTGGCAAGACCACTGCAGGGAACGTAGGTAGCACTGGCAGGCCACTGCTTATTCCAGAGCTGGTTGGTGGGTTGGTTTTGAGACTTTTCTATAGGGCACATGGATTTGCCAGAGAGACAGACAGGTAGAAAGCGAGAAATCACCCTCCAGGGGAGATGGGCATGCTGCAATCCCTTCTCCATTCTTCTCTCTGGATTTTGGGAATGCATGCACACGTGCCTGGAGTGAATATTAAGCCACCAGGTCCGGTACTCAAACTGCGGTCGATTATGCGAGAGTCCAGCGATGTAACCATTATGCCATCCACTGGTCCCCAGCTGGTATATTAAATACCAAGAAAGAATTCTGGGGCCAGCAGCTAGTGTAATGGTTACATTGCTGGACTCTCGCATAATCGACCGCAGTTTGAGTACCGGACCTGGTGGCTTAATATTCACTCCAGGCACGTGTGCATGCATTCCCAAAATCCAGAGAGAAGAATGGAGAAGGGATTGCGGTGTGGCCATTTCCCCTGAGGTGTAACTTGCTTGTTTCACAAACTTGCATGTTTCACAAGTAAGCAGGCCCAGGACTCAAACTGCAGTTGGCCCTGTGGGATTCAGTTGCCTTAACCACCAGGCCACGAACTTGCCCTCATTTTATTACATTTTTAAAAAATTTTTATTTATTTTAAAATTTTTTCTAGAGGGTATATGCTCTTGCCAGAGAGACAAGGTAAGTGACATAGCACCCCCAAGGTAGTGGCCACACCACAATCTCTTCACTCTCCTCTAGAGTTCTGGGCATACTTGTATATGTGCCTTGTATTTTTCAAGCCACTGGGTCAGGACTTGAACCACACAGTCAGCCATATAGATCCAGTCGCCGTAACCACTACGCCATAATGTGGCTTCTGGAGGGTGTGAAGTCACACGGCTCAAAATCTGACCAGGCTACTCTGCGCACAAGATTCCTACGAGTGTAAAGTGAACACACGCGAGCCAGCGGCTCAGAGCCCTGGCCTGTCCTGAAGCTCCGCCACCACTGCCCGCTCCTCCTAATGAAAGGGCTCCCTGATCACCTGGAGCCCAACCAACGTGTGCAGGAAGGCACTGGGAGGAGCCACGCCCTCCTCCCCTCCCATGTCCAGCAGGAGCTGAGGAAGGGGTGCCTGCGCGTGGGAGGGGCAGTTAAGCCTAAAGTGCTTTAGGAGTGCACGGCAGGGATCAGAAAGGATCAGTAATGCCAGCGAGGTCAACAGCTAAGAGGAGGTGGCGCCAGGACCCAATCTCAGGCGGGGCCTGGCTTTAATTCTTTTCCACTAGGACTGGGGCTCTGTCAGGCTGTCAGTTTAGCTACAGGTTGTTCCCCAAAGCAAACATTGAGGGCTATTGTCTCCCCTCTTGTCCACAGATGGGAGTCTGAGTTATGTAGCAGTTTCCCAGGCCCGCCGCAGCTGCCAGGTGTTCTGTTCTTCCTGCCCCGTCTTCTTTTTGCCCCTCTCTTCCTCCCTATCTCCTTTTAGTTTCATTCATGATTGATTTTTAAGAGTAATTAAGGCGTAACTTGCAGGGAAGTGCAGAGGAGAAAGTCAGGTCACGATGGTCTTTTACACACACAGCTCTGTGACCATGACCCAGATCAAGGCTGCCCTGGCCCCGTCCTCGCCCCAGCTCCTCTGGGGTCCGCTCCAAGAAGGCCACCCTCTGACCTCCAGCCCCATGGATTAACTTTGCCACTGTAAGAGCTTCGTATGTAGAACCAGCCTTTGTCTCCGGCTTCTTGGCTCCGCGACTGAGATGCTCCCATGTGGTGCACGAAAGTCGCCTGCTGTCATTATCACCCGTGTGTTACGCATTCACGTGAATGACGGTGCGTCCCACTGCTGATGGCCTCTGTGACTCGCACGCGTCTGTCAGTGGACACGGCACACACGTCTGGGTGTGGAATCACTAGGTCACAGCGCCTGCATGTGCTTCGCTTCGGAGTGCTGGCCGGTCGGTTCTTAGACCGTGGGTCGCTGCCCCCTTCCTGCCGCCTCAGAGGGTTCTGGTTGCTCCACGCTTTCCATGAGGCGCCCTGTGTGTACAGGCATCTCACGGGGGTCGGCTTGCATTTTCCTGGTCACTAATCACGTGCTTGCCGGCCAGCTGGGCAGCCTCTTTCATGAAGTACCGGCTCGGATCTTTTTTTTTAAACTGACAGTTACAGTTAAATTGTTGGCGTTCTTCATATAGCTCGGCCGGGAGCCCTTTAACTCCTCTGCATTCACATACCTTCTGTCAGTCAACGTCCTGCCTTTCTACTTGTTAATATTGTCTTTTAATGAATAGCAATCCTAAATTGTAATAAAGCTCTATTTATCAGGACCAGCAGATGGTGTAATGGTTACATCATTGGACTTCCATAGAGACAACCACGGTTCAAGTCCTGGACCCAGTGGCTTAAAGTGCTGAGTGCACATGTGTGTGTGCCTAAAATCCCAGAGGAGAAGGGACTGAGGCATGGCCAATCCTCCTGGGGGGTGATTTCTCATTTTCTCTCTGTCTCTGTCTCTCTGGTGAATGCATGCACCCTATAGCAAAGATCTCTCTCAGTAAGCAAATAGATAAATAAATAAAAACAAAGCCCTATTTATCAACACATTCTTTTTAGTTTGCTGTAGGGCATGTGGCTTGTGCTCTCACCAGAGAGAGGGAAATAATACTTGTATTATGCAAGTATTACCTACGTACATTACCTGATCATGAATTACCCATGTGTCTATGATGCTATGTGTATAATTACAAAATAGCTTAAAATAATGGAGGCCAGCAGGCAAGTGGAGAAGGGACCAGAGGACAGCCTACTCACCCGAGCGACCCTCCTGTCTCTGTTCAGCTTCAGACCTGGAGAAGGAAGCACAAACATGGTGTCTAGGACCATCTGTCAGGGTAAGGGGACTTACCTTGGCTTCACTGGGGACCCTGGGGCCCTTTCAGCCTAAACTCACTTCCGATGCCTAGACTGGTCCTCAGCCACCCAGGTGCCTGTTCCTGGGTGCTGGGGCAGGGCTGGTCGGCCCGGCCATGCCAATGGGGACGTGCAGACGGGGGTGTGGGAACGGCTCACGTAACGTGTCGTGAGGCTCTCGTCTCTGAGAAACTCGAGCTGTTCTGTCAGATACTGAGTCCCAGGAAGCAGCAAGTGACACAGAATTGTGTCATCACTCGTTGAAGAGAAACTGAGTGAAAGGACACTTTAGAGAGGTCGAGAGGCTTGGTGGTCACCAGCTTCGTGGCAGCTCTGTTCCCTGCACC